CCGGCAGCACGATAAACGGCGCCCCGGAAAAAACTTCGTAGCTGATCGTGTACGTGAGACGCGAGACAAACGACTAATCTTCTTCGACGGCAGGCCCCGTTCTTCGAGGGCTCGAGGGCTCGAGGGCTGCGCGGCTCTTTCGCGTTTATGGGGTACGAATTAAATTTGGAATTATTCTGCCTCGACTGCCGGTACGTACACGAGTAACAGGGAATCGGGTAAAAAGCTGGCATAGCATTTAATTCGGTAAGAGTTTAGTCGAGATCGGCTCGACCGTAGAAATCGTTCGGCGTTTGGAAATATATGTGCATTGTGCAGGTTTCATTGATTTTTAGAATGTGATCGAATCCACGAATAGATAGAACTGATTTTTATTCGAATAGAATTTGAAGTCCACCCGACGGTAGCGAAACTTGAGTTCGAGTAGAATAGGACAACCGTGATCGGACTATGGGGTGCGCGGTGCATCGATTCGTTGTTTTGCTTCTTCGAACGAAGGATATAGGTTTTTACCAGCTATAAAAATGCATAAAATACTAGAGAATTGTATAATATCGATTATGATCCGTCTCGTAAAATGTAATCGTTAACCAGGGAGGTCGGAAGCACTGCGCGATTCGGTAGAAAATCGTAAAGATACATCGACTCGGATTATCTTATTACAATTGCCTTTTATTTGCAAAGAATCTCGTTTAATAAGTAACATACTAAATAAATTAAAATCTCTAAAAGACTAATACTTCATCCTATCTAATGCTTTCTAGTCTGTCTTCGAATATGCGAACGAAGCAAGAACCGATAACCTCGATGAATCTTTCTAAGCTATAAAGAGGAGACAGCAAAAATTCTATCAGCTTCTATCAATATTTCTTAATTAAATCCGTTTCTCGCGTTTATATGCCAGATGCGTGCATCGCAGAACTTACAACTGTCTAGAAAAGATCCGATAAACCGACGACAGAAAATCGTACACCAAAAATTCTTAGCTCGTTTCAAAGAGCCGAGCAAGCTCGTTGTAAAGAACGTTCGCTGAAAAAAATCGATAGAATAAGAAACAGTGTTCGAACCGGTTAAATCCCCGGTTAGGTCATCGGTATTTCGGTATTTCGGTATTTCGGATGGCACGGAAGCGGGGAAAAACAGAAGCTTCCGACAGCGTGGTTTCCGTGGGTGACGATCAGCCGCCGCGGTGTCACCGGATGGGATTTATCGGTAAAAGGTTGCGGAGGAGAGCCGAGATCCGAGATCGGAGAGCCGAGAGCCGAGAATCGAGTCGACAGCGCGCGGCGGTCGGCGCGTCGCGAAGCGGAGGAAGCGTGGGGGATACGTAGCGTAGCGAGAGCGAGCCATAGAGACTACGTATAGAGAGATGCTGAAGAAGAGAGAAGCAAATCGCGGGAGGGAACGAGATCGCGACAGACCCCCCACTTGCTGTTCGCGAGTGGCGGCGCGTGTCAACCTTGCCTTGTCCTTGAAACCACGCGACCGCGACCGTACAACGAGCCAAGTCGCTAGCGAGCGCTCGCGCGGTTCTAGGAATCAGCTGATTGGCCGACAAAAGGGGAATTCCTAGAGGCCACCGCGCGCCGAGGTGCAATCGGATTCTCACCGTCCTCCTCCGACGGGATGCTGAATAATTAACGATCCCACCGATCGCCGTGACTAAGCCGCTCCTTTTTTTCTACTCGTCTGGGCTGGCTCCAGACGTTCCGCCATTTCCTATTACTTATCTCTCGCCGGTCGCTTCTTCTTTTTAACTTTCGACATTTTTTGCGCTCCTTTTCGGTCCGCGCGTGCAACCGGCCGAGAAAAAAAAGTCCGAACAAAGTCCGAAATTTTCTGCTCTCGCGACGGCGAGGAGGCGGGGGAGGACGGGGGAGGGGTGGCTCGTCGACGAACAGGCTGCGGACGCTTATGCTAATTCGTGATTTCTGCCGTCGATGCGCGATCGACTCCGTTCGAAGCCCCGGAGGCGTAGTTTTTCATTTTTCTTTTGCCGTATTTCACGGTTCAGGAAACGTGTTACGATCGGTAAAAAATTATTGTAACAGATGCGAACGCGAATGCGTCGAAAAAGATGCATCGGAAGATGAAAAACATTTTCATCGAACTCGAGCTTCTTACAATTAAACTTGGAACGCTTTCGTCTACTCGTAATCGGTGGTATACTAGAAAGCGATCTCGGAAAAACTTCTATCGGACCAATCGAGAAGACAAGGGCCCTTCTTACCGCAGCATCTTATCTCGCAGAGAATACGTATAATGTATTCTTCGGTCTCGGTTATATCGCAGCTATACGATGGCACTAAACGATCCACCGGTTCGAAAACGTGTCTTTCCAGCCCATCGACCGACACTTTTCTTCTTCGCTTTGCTGGTTCCGGTGAATCCGGGGTCGCAGGCTGCGGCCAATTAACATATAAAAGCGTGCGGTCGGCAATAACGCTCGAAATTCCGGAATTTGCATACTAATTATCGGTGGAACCGGGTAAGGATCGCGGACCGTCGTTCCCCGGGACCACGGTTCCCGGTGAGCGATGTTTTTCGTCCGAAAGACGCCGGGAAACGTGCCTCGAATGAACGAAGCTCGAAAATTTCAGAAGCGGGGACGAACAAAAGATCGCGGAGGAGCGGACAAAGAGACCGCTCGGACCCCGAGGAAGAGCGAATTTTTTGGAGCGATATGGAGATCGACGGTCGTCGGGCGAGTTCCGACCGCGAAAAAGCGCGCGATTTAATTAAATTACCCACTAAATTATGCGAGCCGATTATCATCCTAACGACCATTAGAGTCGGACCCTGGGTCGAGGCCGCTGGAGAAAAAGAGGCGACCGAGGAAAAGGAAACGGACGAAGAAAAAGGGAAAGAAAAAGGTAAAGAAAAAGAAAAGGAAAAAGAAAAAGACCGGTTCGTCGGGGACGGTAGGGTAATTATGGGCGCGTTTCGACACGAAGAAACGTCCGTCCGGGATTGTCGTTATGGAAATCGTACGTGAGAGGTTAGAGAGAAGAATCCGAGTGTGCCAGGCCTCGGTATCTCGTGAGACCTGTTTGTCGGCGGGGGACTTTACGTAACAAAAGATAACCGACTCGCCAGCAGCGCAGATAACTAGGAGACCCAACTCCCAACCACCGCCGACGACGCTTATGCAACGCTAGCGCGTTCACGCGTCGCGTTCGCGCTCGCACTCGCGCACCTGAGCAATCGGAGTCGGAGTCGGAATCGAAATCGGAATCGGAATCGGAAGGCTCGCGAGCAGATAAGACTGTGGCGCGGCGGAAAGGTCATCGAATCGTGGAATCGATCGGCCGCCTTCCATCCCGATAAATTGCACGCTCCGCTCCGCGCCGCGCACACCGCTTTCCAGGAAGATCGAGAGACGCGCCAGCTGACCCAAGGCGCACGGTTCATGATCAGAGACGATAGCGAGCCGCGCGACTTGTCATTCCGCCTGTTTCGCGTGTGCCGCCGCCGCTTCGCCACAAATTGTACCGTCAACACTGACAGTCGCCCGAGGAGGCGGACATTATGGTAATGCAACGCGGTTTTTGCTGAAACCGTCCGCGTCTGGCGCACCGAGCGCCGGCACGGACGCGTCCTTTGAATTTCGACTCCCATTTTGCAGATTCGAGCGGCGTTTCTCTTCGGCGATTTTGGAGAATCGATCTCGCGTTAGCTTCGTTTACGGCGGAAAATTCGTCGAAGATCTCGATGAAATTTTCAACCAAACGTTCGCGAAGAAAACCTCCCCGGATCGAAAACGAGAGGAAACGATGTTTCGCGTCGGAGCATAAAAATCGAAAGGACCGTTTATCGAGGGCGGTTGCAACGAGTGGCAAGCACCGCGAAATTCAGCGGTTCGTGCTTTCACCTACTCGTGACGCACGGTAGTTGGCAATTCTATGGAACCGGCGTTGCAACACATTCGACACCTCCGCAGTCGCCGCGAGCTATTCGCGGGATTTCCAACGTGTTCCGCCGATTTCCCGAACCGGAAGCCCGACTCGCTGGAAAATTACTCACGCCCGATTACGAGCGAAAGTTGTACGCGATAATTGGTTATCGCTACTCGCTGGGAGGCTAGCCTCGAGATTAGACCTCTTTGTCTGCCGATAACGCCGCGCGATCTAATTCCAGCGTTACAATACCTCCCGATTTTTGCTCGACCTCGGAGCCGTCGAATCGGTCTTAGTTAAACGGCCCGTGACCGGTCGTATTACCTCCGGAGATTGGAAAGGGTTCGCGTTTCGAGGAGCCAAGGGCCGGCGAGTGTTGGGACATCCGCCGCCAGGCGGCAGCATGCTCTTGGCTCCGCCGGCGTTGGCCCAGGGAATCGAGTGGGGAGCGATTTCGGGCCCCTCGCCGAGAGCGTGAGAGCGCGAGAGCGTGAGAGCCGGGAAAGGGAATCGGGGACCGGTTCGGCGCGGGGGAACCTCCGGGATCCGCGTTCAGGTGGCAGCACCTCGCTGCAGGTTCTGCCGCGCCTTTCTTCAGTCCGCCTTCCGAGCTGCAGCCGCACAGACGGGGCCTCGCTTCGTTCCAAACGACTTGCAACGGCGGAGACGACGGTCGCGCCGCTTCGCACGATCGCGAAAAGACCCGTCCGTCCCTGCTTCCAACCCGTTTTATTTTTAATCGCCATGTCCGAGCCGTCCTTACAATATTCTGTATCGTAGAGTACCGTCCTTTCGTTTTTAGATTTTGCTGTTGCACCGTTTCTCGAATAAGAAAATAAATGAGTCACCATCCTAAGGAACGCGCGACAATTAAATATAAACGACAAATGTTTTAAATACCGTCGGACGTAGAACGCAAATTTTTATACGAATATTTCGGATATCCGATATTAAAGGATAAATATAATTTTCTCTTTCGAAAAGTAAATCATACGACAGAATCGATCGATGGTGAAACACGATTTCAATCGTATTCGATAAGATAGAAGAGAGAATAGAAGCGTCGGAGGTGACAGGGGGTGGTCGAAAGAACAATGCCGGAAGTAAGTTTGAAGAAAGAGATCAATATTTATTTGATGCTCTTGCAGTGATAAGCGTCGATCTTTTCTATTCTCACAATAGAGAGGAATTATAAATTTAATTTCTCTGCACTCATATAAATATAAATAGGACAACTGTTCGCACACTATCTCTCGCTCGAGCACGCGCGCGCGCACGCACGCGCGCACGTGTCATTTGCCCATCCGCACACTTAATTAATCCTACGAACTAAAGATCCGCGTTTAGTTACAAAATGAATGAAATTAAAAGAAAGAAGAAACTGGTTCCTCGTACTTTTCGCGAATACATAGACACTCGCACGGCGTATTTTCTCTACGTACAAGAAACAGAATGGAAGACCTCGGTGATTCTTGTTGCGTAAGGCACTTAAAATACGATATCCTTCTAAACACATGTATGTACAGACGACGAAAGGTGGAAAGAATGCAAAATTCGGGGGGTACGCGTCGAAACTCAATGGAAACGATTGACGAACGGAAATGAAGAAACAAATGATTTCTCGGTTTTTTACATTCTTCCTCTCGACTCTCTCTCTCTCTCTCTCTCTCTCTCTCTCTCATTCTCTCGCACACTCTTTCGCTCTCTCTTTCGCTCGCTCCCTTTCTCTCAACGATACGATAGAACTATTTACAAGGCACTGTATAAGGCACTGCCTCATAGGCTACTGGCCGACGTGTACGCACTCGGGGTGCTAAAAAACTCGCGGTTCCGAGGGTGTCCTAGCTGGCAGGACGCGATCCTAAATACGATAAGGAACAATATCCGTGTCCGTAAACTTTCACGGTGCTGAACGACCGATCCACGTGTCTTCAGTCGGAGAACATGTACAATATAATATTTCACTCGAGACTGTTTCCGTCTTAAGACGACGGCGCGCGCGCGCGCGCGTATCACCCGCGACATCACGATTTTACCACGGCCTCCACGGCTTGTCCTCGACCTCGGGGACCACGCTCTTCCTCATGACGAGGGCGAGCGGTTTCTGGAGCGGCGGGCTGTAGACGCGGGGGTCGAACTCGGGGTCACTGGTGTAGCCGTTGGCCGGCGACGTGGCGACGTCCCTGTGGCTGTTGCCGGTGTTGAAGGCGGCGGATTGCTCGCGGAAGGTGGCCGGCGGTGCCTCGAACGCGACCGGACTCGCCGCGGACGTGGACGTCGAGCTGGCCGACGAGGTCGAGGAGGAGGCGGACGCCGTGCTGGCCGTTCTCTGAGGAATCGGGATCAGAGTCGGCAGAGGCGAGGTCGGGGCTGGCGAGGAGGCCGGCGAGGTGACCGGGGTCGCCTTCGCTCCGGCCGGCAGGACTAGCGCGATGTCGCCGTTCGGCAGCCTGGTCGGGACCAGCTGAAGCCCCGTGCCGTTCGCGTTCGTGAAGAATATCCCGTTCGACTGTTGGACCTGGATCCTCGGGGTGGCGTCCACCTGCGGCAGGATGTGGACCTGGAGCTGCGTGGTCGGTGGCGCCGGTTGCACCGGCTGCTGGCTCGCCGTCTGGCCGTTCGCGTTGCTCGCCTCGACCGGTCCGAGGCAGGAGGCCAAGTGGGCCATCAAACGCCTCTTCACCGACGCGTCCAGACCGGGAAACCTGCCAACCTCGCCGGCGCATTCCGTGAAACCAGCCCGGAATTTGTTCAAGACGTTCGGGTCGGTCGCCGCCGCCAGGGCAACCTGTTGACGCTGGAGCGTCTCCAGGTGTTTCACAGTCATCTCGAGGATGTCGGCCTTCTCCAGCTTCGAGTGTCTCGCTGGCTGTAATCGGAAACAACCGAACGATTATGTAAAGCCTCGGCGATACGCGTCCACTGGCAACGTCTCCCAGGGAGAAGTCGGAGGGATTGTGACATCTGGTCGGGTGGGATCGAACGAACGTTTAAGATACTCACGTCTTTTTTCATGGCGTCCAGGATGAGGGTCTTCAGGTCGTTTAGGCAGTTGTTGATGCGGGCTCGCCGCCGTTTCTCCATGATCGGCTTGTTACTCTGTAACAGAAAATAATTGCCGGGTCAGGCGCGTCGTTTCGCTACGAATTGGGGGATGTCGCGCCGTTTCGATGGCTCGGGTAAAAGAAAGGGTAAAAGAAGGGTAAAAGAAAGAACCGAACTCGATGGATCATCGTCGACGGTTTTACTCGAATTCGAAGTCGCGCGGCTAAGGTTTTTTTCTCGATCCGCGCGAGGTAAAGAGCGAGAGGCGATGCATCCTCTCGCGACACTAACCCGTCGATTCTCGCCGGATCTTCTGGTGGTTGCGGTGGTGGCGGTGGTTTGCGCAGGGGGCTGTCCAGCCTCCTGGGGCACGTGCTGCGCCGGCGGCGTAGCGCCGACGGTGACCCCGCCGGTCGGCATCGTGGCACCCANAAGAAACAAATGATTTCTCGGTTTTTTACATTCTTCCTCTCGACTCTCTCTCTCTCTCTCTCTCTCTCTCTCTCTCATTCTCTCGCACACTCTTTCGCTCTCTCTTTCGCTCGCTCCCTTTCTCTCAACGATACGATAGAACTATTTACAAGGCACTGTATAAGGCACTGCCTCATAGGCTACTGGCCGACGTGTACGCACTCGGGGTGCTAAAAAACTCGCGGTTCCGAGGGTGTCCTAGCTGGCAGGACGCGATCCTAAATACGATAAGGAACAATATCCGTGTCCGTAAACTTTCACGGTGCTGAACGACCGATCCACGTGTCTTCAGTCGGAGAACATGTACAATATAATATTTCACTCGAGACTGTTTCCGTCTTAAGACGACGGCGCGCGCGCGCGCGCGTATCACCCGCGACATCACGATTTTACCACGGCCTCCACGGCTTGTCCTCGACCTCGGGGACCACGCTCTTCCTCATGACGAGGGCGAGCGGTTTCTGGAGCGGCGGGCTGTAGACGCGGGGGTCGAACTCGGGGTCACTGGTGTAGCCGTTGGCCGGCGACGTGGCGACGTCCCTGTGGCTGTTGCCGGTGTTGAAGGCGGCGGATTGCTCGCGGAAGGTGGCCGGCGGTGCCTCGAACGCGACCGGACTCGCCGCGGACGTGGACGTCGAGCTGGCCGACGAGGTCGAGGAGGAGGCGGACGCCGTGCTGGCCGTTCTCTGAGGAATCGGGATCAGAGTCGGCAGAGGCGAGGTCGGGGCTGGCGAGGAGGCCGGCGAGGTGACCGGGGTCGCCTTCGCTCCGGCCGGCAGGACTAGCGCGATGTCGCCGTTCGGCAGCCTGGTCGGGACCAGCTGAAGCCCCGTGCCGTTCGCGTTCGTGAAGAATATCCCGTTCGACTGTTGGACCTGGATCCTCGGGGTGGCGTCCACCTGCGGCAGGATGTGGACCTGGAGCTGCGTGGTCGGTGGCGCCGGTTGCACCGGCTGCTGGCTCGCCGTCTGGCCGTTCGCGTTGCTCGCCTCGACCGGTCCGAGGCAGGAGGCCAAGTGGGCCATCAAACGCCTCTTCACCGACGCGTCCAGACCGGGAAACCTGCCAACCTCGCCGGCGCATTCCGTGAAACCAGCCCGGAATTTGTTCAAGACGTTCGGGTCGGTCGCCGCCGCCAGGGCAACCTGTTGACGCTGGAGCGTCTCCAGGTGTTTCACAGTCATCTCGAGGATGTCGGCCTTCTCCAGCTTCGAGTGTCTCGCTGGCTGTAATCGGAAACAACCGAACGATTATGTAAAGCCTCGGCGATACGCGTCCACTGGCAACGTCTCCCAGGGAGAAGTCGGAGGGATTGTGACATCTGGTCGGGTGGGATCGAACGAACGTTTAAGATACTCACGTCTTTTTTCATGGCGTCCAGGATGAGGGTCTTCAGGTCGTTTAGGCAGTTGTTGATGCGGGCTCGCCGCCGTTTCTCCATGATCGGCTTGTTACTCTGTAACAGAAAATAATTGCCGGGTCAGGCGCGTCGTTTCGCTACGAATTGGGGGATGTCGCGCCGTTTCGATGGCTCGGGTAAAAGAAAGGGTAAAAGAAGGGTAAAAGAAAGAACCGAACTCGATGGATCATCGTCGACGGTTTTACTCGAATTCGAAGTCGCGCGGCTAAGGTTTTTTTCTCGATCCGCGCGAGGTAAAGAGCGAGAGGCGATGCATCCTCTCGCGACACTAACCCGTCGATTCTCGCCGGATCTTCTGGTGGTTGCGGTGGTGGCGGTGGTTTGCGCAGGGGGCTGTCCAGCCTCCTGGGGCACGTGCTGCGCCGGCGGCGTAGCGCCGACGGTGACCCCGCCGGTCGGCATCGTGGCACCCACCCCGGTCACCATCTCGTATCACAAAAATGTCAAAAGCGTCGACGGATTCACGACAAATTGCGCGAACAATTTGCCGCGGCACTGCACTGGTAATCCAAGATAGCCGCTGCGTAGCACTGCCTGTTCTACGGCCTAGGGCCACCGGGGTAATCCAGATAGAGCGTGTGGCCGGCCGGTCGTGAACGGACGGCCGTGCGAACGGAGGGTAGTTTTCTGTTTACGGTCGAGAATATGGTAAGCGGACGCACGGTCGGGGCTCCCTTGCTAATCTCGCTCGCTGACTGAACTCACTGCGAACTCCGACCAGTCTGTACAGACGTCAGAGCACGACTGACCGAACGAACGACGAACGTCTTCTGTCGTCTCGTCGAAGCGTGCCACCCGATGGAATGCCCGGTGGAGGCAAAGCCGAGAACGGGTGGGGGAAAACCTCGACGGACCGTCTGGAGGGGATAGCGCGTGACGGTTTAACCTGGGCTTCCCTCCACCAACCGAATTCCGACGGTCGGACGGCACCCGGTTGCCTTTAAGAGCCCCCACCTAGGCTGCGAAGCCCCCTCCTCGGGGTACCGACCGCCGACGGCGGCCGTGGCGGGTTGCCTCGTTGCCTCGCTTCCTCGCTTCCTCGCTTCCTCGCTTCCTCGCTTCCTCGCCGCCGCTGTGCCTCGCGCGGACCCCCACCATGCGTCGCCCGAACTCCGATCGATCGGATTCTTCTGCACTGTCATCGAGTCATTTTTTCGAAAAATCCCCTTTGACGTTACCGTGCCCGACCCGCGCGTCGGTTACGGGGAACCACCTAAATTCCCTTCCGACGACCCTCTTACGTTTCTGAAAATTCCCTCGTTGCACAATTTCTCCCTTTTGCAACGGGCGATGTCCGCTGGATCTCCCAGAATCGCGAAATTGCAAATGAGTCACTGCTCTCACCCTTTGCCAACGACGTCTCAGCGATGACGCTGAAACTGACGCATGGCGCTCGAAGATCCTGGTACGGAGAGCAGAGTTTCCGATAGCAAAGTGTCACGATACCATCGTGGGCGAAGAGTGTGTCAATCTTGCACTCGATAGATATTAATTGTTCGCGAAACGCGTTGGACGATACTTCTGAGTTTTTTATATTCCATCGCCCACAAGATTTGTCAAAATTTCTGTATTCTACGGTGAAAACTGAGATGACGCGTCGAAGCGTCGAGTGAAAACGAAGAAATTCTTTCGGGACCGACGTTCCAGCATCGAGTTCGAAATTTCGTATTCCGAGAAAAGTCTTAAAAGTTTGACGGGGATTTCGGGTTGAAATTGGAAGCGAGCACGGTTCGTAGTAAAGGGAACGGATCGCAACGGGAACAAAGAACAATAGCGCGCGGCGTTTCCCGCGAGCGGCGATTAGTCTCGTGACGCGTATCGCGCGTCGAAAGGTCATTAGAACCGGCTGGCCGGATCGCGGTGCGGCGCGGCGCGGCGAGGCGCGGCGTGGCGCGATCGTGGTGGTAATTGTAATTTCTAGACGGGCACGCACGTATGCTCGACTACGAACGTCATCGGGGCTTATATTACGTTCTTCGAAAATAGCCGAGTGCCACCGTGTGTCGAGTGCGGACTGACGCACGCGCGCACCACTGGCACGTGCCTCCTACTCCCTCCCCACGTCTTTCGAAATTACTCTTTCTACTTGTGCGACCGATTATACGCACGCCGCGGCATTTATCTCTCGCGTACGTGCACGTACGCGAGCCATAAACCGCTGATACGTATTTCTCGGCCGCCCGAGCGTAATCGATAGGCGATCGTATCGATCTATAGCCTCCTGGATCGCGCTTATCGCGCACTCCGCGTTCGCGATTGCAACCGACGCGACGGAGCTGCGGTTACTGGAACTGCAACGAGGTTTATCGAAAGGCTCGAGTGCATTTTCATTCCCGAAACATTGGCAAATGTAGGATTTCTGCAACGCGCGGTCGCATCGCGGTATAACCGGACTTTGAAAAATTGGGGAGCAGCGAAGCGAACAGATCCGAGTAGACTTTGAACCTCGAAGGTCAGAAAAATTCAGATCCGTGGTAGCATCGTGTCACGATTACCCGATCGGTTCGGTTGCCGCTGCGTTTCGTGCCGTCCTAGAGGAGCACTTCCGAAAAGAGTCCCCCGCATAGCTCGCTGGCATTGCGACGTTATCGGCGGGTATCTCCGGTTGAGAGCACAGACGTGTCAAAGTCTCGTGGAAAGATAATCGTCGGTGCAGCGTCGATGGTTCCGGCGCCGAGCGAAGCCAACCAAGTATTCGCGCTGGCGAGGCTCGGTCGAGCTCGAGGCTCGAGGCTCGAGGCTCGTCGTCGGACCGGCTCGGCAAAGGGTAGGAATCTGGAGAGCAGAGAGAGAGGGAGAGAGAGAGAGCAGGAGAGTCCTGGAGGGGGGCTAGAAGCGAGCGAAGCAAGCCCAGGAGTTCGTAGAAGCGAGTTAAGTGCGACAAGGATGTCGACCGGTGGATCGTGCTCGTGTCCTCGCGAGCGAGACAGGGTTATGGAAAAAAGATCGCGGGGATGTCGGTGGGACGAGGACGCGAGCATAGGGGCTGCCGAAGAGGAAGCGGGAGAGTCCGACATCCTGAAGAGAGGAGAAGCCGCTTCTCTGGTGCGACGACGCTCGACCGTGCGCGGGCAAAGGATGCGAAATCGGCGGCCGCCAATCACGTGACCGGGAACCGATGCGGCGTACGACGCTCGCGTTCCGATTGGCCGGGACCGATCCCCACCCGCCGGACCGGCGAGAGGACGAGCGTGCCGCGCGCGACGGTTGCGTGGGTGGTGGGGGCGCGATCGTCATTCGACTTTGAGCGGTCGAGCGTCGCGGCGGCGTTGCGCCGTTGCGGCGTTGCGGCGCGGCGTTGCTGCGTCGTGGCGTCGCGGCGCGTGGGTCGCGGGTCGCTGGTCGCGGTCCTCTAGGGCCACTCGATCTCGAGGAATGCGTGGGGGAGAAAAAGCGTGCGGCCTCGCGGGGAGGCGGATACCTGTGACCTCCCCGGGAGAATGCATTTCGAGATTCGAGTGCAGCGGCCGCCGCCGCGGTCGATGGGAAAATTAGGTGCACGAATCCGTTCCCTCGCTGCGAATAGGGATCTTCTCGCGCGATTCTTCGGTACGAGGATCAGCCAGGACGACGTTCGAACCGTTGATTCCACCGTTGCTTTCTAACGACATTTTTGAGACACGAGCATTTGTAATGATAAAAGAAACGACCTTCTTAGATCGAACGGTGTAAAAAAGAAATAGAAAAAATTGAGGCGCGTTAAAACGTTTCGATCGAAGCAATTGTAGCGTGTCTGCTCTAGATCTTCTCGAATTGCGAAGTGCTTTGGATCGATGGACGCTTTCGGTATTTATCCTATCGGTTCTTTTACGAGTTGAAATAAATATGTTACTTGAGAAGGCGTCTACGATGGTTTCCATTATCTTCTAAGGTTTCGGTTCTTCGAATTGTATACGAAAATTAAATAACCGACGAAGATGTAATTGGTAAAGCTAATCGATGGACAGCCCAAGAAACGCACGAGCGTGAAAGAGCGTTCAACCGAGCGGATACCTGTGACCTATCCGATAGAATGCATTCGGAGTGCACCGGGCCTCGGGGAAAATTGGGTGCGCGTCGTAAGTGCACCGGCTATTCCCTCGATGGGAATCGAGGGTACGCTTCGACCGCGCCATGGATATTGAGAATGTAATTGGAGTACACTAGACGCCACGCGAGAATCGAGTCGCATTTCGAGTGCAGCCAGCGCGATGCAGCGTCGAGAAACGCCGAGTGTTATTCGACGGTGTCGGATATTGTAGAATGCACTCTGAAAACATTTCTATTGTTTTCATTTCGTTGGAAAGATGTTGGCTTATTTTACAGGGATCGCAATTTGTTGAAGTTTCGAGAGAATTAGCAATTTAGAAATTGCAATCGAGTATGCGGTTTCACATGTTTCTAAGGAATTAATATATTTTCGAGCACCACGATTATTTAATTTATTAATTAATTTATTAACCCGAAGTCTGATTTATGAGCGACTCAACTGTCTATCATATTTGGTCGTTGTACAATATTTTCACTGCTTCGGTTCGTATAGTTTACGTACCTATAAAGATTAAGGTGAAATTTTTAATTTTACATTAATTGCATGTTACAAATATTTATACGTTCCTAGATAAAACAACAAAATTCTGTACCTAACAAATCATAAGCTAAATTTCATACTTTCGAAACGATCGAGGATATTACGGTAAAAGATCAATGAAAAACACCCCAATCGTAATTATTATTTCGTTCAACCCTTAACTGGCTCGCATTCGTCGTTGTCTATAAAAAATTATTTGCCGCGATGCGGCTCGTCTAGGAAACATTTGAAAGCAGAGTTTCAAGCTGACGTATCGTCAAAATGTCTCATAAACAAATTAAAAGTGCAAAGGTAGATACGATTGCACGACTACTGGTTAGTGGATTAGGCATTCATAGTCAGCCAGGAGGGAAGCACCGGCCTACCGATGGCGTGCTCCCATCTGGCGGTGGATTCTGAAACTTCTACCCTGCTCTCGGCGCGCTCGATTTTTCGGACAGCGTTGGAAACAGCGGGGCTCGTTTATTGATTGAAATATTTTAACATTTTAAAGTGTACATTCATCGTTTTTATCATCCCTTACACCTTGGAGTTTCGAGAGACACCAGCAACCGGTATATCGATTTTCTCCAACGTATTAGAAAAGTATTTCAAATACGAAGATCCATCGAGTTTCGACCAAGTTTAACCAATTTTTAACTACGTTTTTAGAGAGATTGGAGCACGACGTCTCGAAGCCCGAGGAAACAGGACACGAATTCTGGATTAAGTCGAGCCAACGCGTTCTCGGGTTCGCGTAATCGACAAAAGTATCGCACATTTCTCACGTGTATGCTCGAGAGAACGTTTCATAGGCTCCCGGTCTCTATGAGTCACTCGGAAACGTCTAGACAACAAACGTCTAGAGTCTAGACACAGATAAGGATCGTAATACTTTTATAGT